AGGACTTGTATAAAGGAGGTGCCACTTAACAAATTGGTTTATGAATACAATGCATCTTGATCATCAGCTAATGAGTTTTTAAATGGTCTAGGAAAATCTAACATCAGTTATCTGATAAAACCATCATCACGGCAATATATTTAGATGACAATATGGATCTGTTTTTACCTTTTGCTTTTAATCTTCCATACAAGGGACTGGGTCACCTGACATTCAAAGACCCTCCTATGCACTATATTTCAACCTACCTATCTATTCTTGCCAGTTTGTATCCTAGTTCTTTCATAAATCCCAATCTATCCATCCCAACTTCCTAACCCCATTAGAAATTAGTGCCCAAATGATCAATCTGCCATTTAATCATTTCAGTTTCCTTAGCATCTAATCCACTATTATCTTAAATAGTTATTTAAATCAGATGCTACCATTGAACTTCTGTGAATCTATTTTTTCTCCTCCAATAGACTATAAATATTTTAGAGAAACACAAATGGCTCACCTATAAAATGTTTAAGAATACCAGGATCTTGTTACACCATGAATAACAATGGTTAATTATGGCCAACTAAATTTTGCTATGAGATTCACAGGAAAATTAGAAAATAGAGACAGGGTGAAATTTCATATATAAAAGCAATTCCCATTCCTCATTTTCAGCTTATTTCATGAGAAGTACAATGCCCAAAGAAGAGTTTTAGTGACAGATTCAGTTATAGCAAAGTTATTATTCATCCTAAGATCATTTTTTTCAACCGTGAATGATAGTAACACTTGACTAATTCCACGCGTACCTTTTCATTTCACTAGACTAAATCCACACATACCTTTTCATTTCTAATCAAGGATAATATTGTTTCCCTCTCAATCAACTAGAACTGTCATAGATAACCTCAGGGGTATAAAGTGAAAATCTGAAAAATATCTTAAGAAACTACTAATCTAAGGGGTAAATTATACTATTCACCAAGGCTCAGATTCTAAAAGAAATAGAGAAGAAAAGTACTTAGGAATGAGATTGAAGATTCAGTCAGCCAAAGAATTTCATAGAGGAGTAGGAGTCACAGAATGTGGATAATCAAAAGGTAGGTTGCCAGGCATGTTGGCTTCCATGTACCATTTCATCTACTTGTGTGGCAAATGTTAGAAAGATCATAGTCTGAGGCCAGCTGGGGCAAAAAATTAGCAAGACCCTACCATGACATATAAACCAGGCCAGGCCTAGTGCTGAATGCATACAATCCCAGCAATTGGGAGGTATAGGTAGATAGAAGTTACTCTCTCTCCCTCTCTATCTCACTTCCTCCCTCTCTCTCTCTCTCTCTCTATATATATATATACATACATAATTACACTATACATTCATATATAGTAGTTATTACATATATTTATATTTATATCATGGGAAGTGTGGAAATGGTCATGTAGACACACCTATATCACTTTGTGTCACATGTCTTCCGTTTGTCTCTTCCCCTCGCTCTGTGACATAGGTAGATTGAATCAACAGGCTCCCTTCAGCCTTTCCCTTCTTTGCAAAGAGAGTCAGGCAAAAGTGTGTGGGGTGGGGGAAGGTGAGGCTCTTTCTTTCCTAGCTCATCCCTTAGTTTGCTGCCTGCCTGTCTGTCTTGCTAAAGGTCTCCTCCACAGCTTCCTAGGTCTGGTAGTCACTCCCTCTTCTTATTCCTTCAGGACCAGGATTTGTCATGCATAATCCCAATTGCTCTGTGTCTCTACTGAATCTCTCTTTGAGAGGCAAGCTCTAAGTAAGCAAAATCCAAAAGGAAGCTGATGACAGCAGGATCCTGGCCTCCACTAAGCAAAGAAACCTGAATACATGGGAGAAAACTTCTAGGAGAAAACTGAGGTGTCTCCATGGACCACTGAAAGTCCAGTCGCCTCCATCTTTTTGCTTGTTATATCTCTGACTAGGTCACTAGGCTAGGTCATTATTTCTACCACCTGTCTCTTCCTTCGAATTCCAGATCCAGGTACTTCTACCTTCTATCAGAATCTGGTCATATACTTCAACAACAAAACTGGGAGTCTTTTAAAAGTCTGACATTAAAAAAAATAAATCTTGATTGATTTAATAGGTATATCTAGCATGGATTAATTTCAAACTATTTAGAACGCCGTGAGTTAAGTTTAAGAAGGTAAAGGGTGGGAGACTCGTTCCCAGGCAAGATAATTATTTTCACAGGCATTACACCTTAAGGGACTGTCATGATAAAACTACAATTATTTTAGGATTGTATCCTTAAGAGCCTCATGTGTCAAATATAGACAGCAAAGGAGAAAGTACTCCCTTCCAAGACAAAAGAATATGGCTTAAAAATGAGCATTGAAAAATATGCAACCAAAAGGGCGAGAGTAATCTCAGTTGTGATAAAAAATGAATACACTCTATTATATCCAAGTCATAGTGCATTTTGAGTCTTATCTATTTTTTATTCCTGTATTGTTCTTGTGTGGAGATTGAACTTCAGTCCTCACCTGTGCTAAGAAAAGCCCTTATTCCATCATCTGAGACATGTGTCAGGTCAAATATGTTAAAACAAACACGATAACCTAAATCAGAGTCTGTGGCAGAGCTGCTTCATGGTTTTGTGAATTGGGCACATTTAAATGCCAGAATGGATAATGTCCAGGAGTAAAACTGTGACACAAAACACAAAGTTACTGGGGCGTATTTAACCTCCCAACACTCATGCAATTGAAAACTTCAAAAGGTGGCACCTTGCCTGAAATGCACGAAATCTCCTGTTGAACAGGGTGATTAAAGAAAAAACAACCAACACTTTTAGGTTGTATGTTTCTTTAAGTGAAAAAAAAACCTGCAAGAAACTAAATTCAGAGCATGAATCACTTCTAAAACAACTCTCCAACTCATGAAACACCACCTTTAAAAAGCCTGCAAACATGATTCAGCGATTGTCTATCAAGTTTAGGCATTTCATTATTAGGCACTCTCTCCTGCTACTGTCTGTAGTTTGGCTTCTACCTCTCCCAAATGCAAAAGTCACCATCAGCCAGTTCTCAGCTCTTCAAACCGCAGACAGCACAAACGATGCCAGATATAAATATTGACACTGTTAAAAGTCAACATTTCCAAAATCCCAAACTTGAATGCTTTTGCAGATTGATTTGGATCAGGTACACTTTACTGTATTGGAAAGATTTTTTTTTAAAGTCATTTGTATTCCCCCCAAAAGAAAGACAAAAAGCAACATCAACATACATCTTAACACGTGAGGTACTTTTAATTCCAGGCTACCCAGTCTTTTCTTTCCCAGTAAATTTTGGAGAAAAAGTCTTTAAGTTTGTTTCTTTCTTTCACATCAACATCTTATTGTAAGGGGATTTAGTAGATGATAGAATATAAATCCAGCATTTGAGTTAGCTTGGCATCCTTCCCATCCCATTCTTCAATGAACAATTTACTTAAAGACCACATCTTAAGAAAGTGATCTAGTTCCTTCACACAATTTCAGAATCTTCTCCTTTTGCCATCTTCTCCATTTGTACTTCAAACCCAATGTACACATCTTTGGCATGTGCTTTAGCCTTGCTGCTCACCTTTAGGGTGAATTCTGGAACTTAGGCATTCAGAATGGAACCTCATTCTGTCTTGAGATATTTTGTTACTTTCCCCTCTGCCCCAAATACAATTATCACCCTCCGTCATCATCTCCAAGAAAGAAAAGATGATTGACTATCTGGTCAAAACTTCAACTTTTGCTGAAACTCAGATATATTTGTGACTTTGAATGACTGATTCATCTTTTTTTTTTTTAAAGAAAGGTGAGTATAAGAATTTATATCAAGTTCCTTTTAGGGTTTATAAAAATAAAACTGCAAATGAAACAATAACTAAAACAGCTGAGCTTTCAATAGAATAAGAGCCATCAACCAAATGACCTACACAGACCCTTTCTACAAATAAAAAAGCTTCTCAAGTCACATTTAAACCAGCTTGCAAATACAACACAGCTAAATGGACACAATGTTACTTAAAATCTGCCTCTGACCCGAGTTCAAAATCACTGACAATATTTTTTTGTTTGTGAATGTGAAAGTTCCGCAGTCGCAAATGTATTCAAGCATATCAGAAAGAGAAAAATCGAGGTACAAGCTCCAATAGAAAACCAGACTGCCCATGAGGAAGACTAACCAGGGTTCACGGGGCCCAAACCCTGGGAAGTCAGTAATTGGCAACAACGTAAGTTGTCTCTAATTTTTTGCACACTAAAGAATTTCTTCTTGAGTTCACAAAGACTGAATCACCTTCAAACACCATGTTCTTGTATGGGTATTTTTTCTACTCCACCTCTGACATCCTTACACGGGCAGCCAAATAGACATGAGCCAGCCAGAGTAACACTGGGTTTTGTGGAGCCCCTGTGGGCACTGTGCCTTTCTACAAATTAAGGAGGAGCTCATCTCAAAGGGAGGAGAGCCATGGAGGGATGTAGGTGTGAGACTCACAAAGCATAGCTCAGCATTTCTGGGAAGGAGTGAGGATTCTTAGCCAGCAAGATGCCCCTAGGAGGATTAATGATTGATTTTCTTATAAATCATCTAAGGTGATGGTTATTTGTTTGTTTTCCCTCCCAGGATGATAAATGTCTGATTTTACTTTTCATATTTGTTTTCCCCCTTCTCTTCCCACTTCATTGAGATCAAAAGACAGCCAAGGAAAGAATCTTAAAGAAATTTTTCTCACCATGGAGTACAAGGAAAACAAAGTATTTTCTGACCTTTATGGGGTGCCATGGGGCTAGGCCCTCAAGCCACTTCCATGGGGTACGTAGTAATTACAAGCTCTAGAGTTTGACTTTGCGAGGTTGCAGAGGCACACATTATACTCATTGGCAGCAAGGTTAAGGTCGGTTGCATTTTGAGATGGAGACACAAACTCATCCAGACGCCTGAGGATCAGCTTTCAGAAACAGCATTGCCCCCTCTGCTTAATTCACCATGTCAGCAACATGGCAGCTTACCTTCCTGCCCCCCGTGTTGATGCGCAGGGGCGTCAGAAAGGGGTCGAAGATCATGTGGCTGGTCTCTATGTTGACTGGTGACTGCCGTTTCCCCACCGAGCAAAGGTTCCAAGCCGAGTTCACCAATCCCCAGAAAGAAGGAACTAGAAACAAATAGAAATGATGCAATTAGTCTGGATGGCAGGGTGAGGGAGCCGTGATAAAACCCCAGCACATAATTGGTGAAAGGAAAGCAAAGTACCCCCAGTTCCTGCTCACCAACATATCTGGAGGTAACGATCATTATTTTTCTGGTTTGATCTTCAAGGTTTATAATCACAAACTCTTCAGTTTAGATTATCCCATTTATGGGCCAATAGATCCTCTGGCCTCTGTTGTGTAGAGTTAGCATTATGATTATTTTTTTAAGGATATTCCATCTTTGTAAAATTCCCAACCTATTACCAACTAGATCATAATTCCAAGACTAATGTCCTGTTTTCCTACATGGGAGAAATAATACAAAAATCAGCCTGGTCCATGGGTATTTTGGACTTTTTTCAAAGAAAAATGTCATTCAATGTATACAAGAAGTGTTTTCTACATGTTGTCAAGACTAAACAGAGGGATTGAATTATTTCTATGACCTCCCTCCCCCCCCCCCAAATCAGTGCTAGACAAGAGCTTGACAACTCAATTCTGTCTGTGTTTGGTGAGGTATGGTGCCATTAACCTAATGTGCCAGCAGCTGAAGAATGCAATCTTTTGATAGGCAGAAAAATGACATCGAGTGCTGAGTGCAAATATCCAAAGGAAAGCCGTCTGCTCATTTTCAGCTTCACATTAAATTATCTATTAGGACAAATCTCTGTGGAATTCCCAGCTCTATTTTCTTCTTTGCAAGAAAGCTAGTAGGGAAAGAGGGAGCGCCCACACAGTGATTTTTTTTTGTTAGTGAAGAAACTCAACTCTTAATCTTTTATGGCCCTTCTCCCGTACCTCCACTGAGACACAGGATTCAGATGTCCTATAAACATTTTTGAGATTTTAGGGCCATTCATTCATTCATTCCATCTCAGAGGGTACAGTGAGCTCCTATCTTGTGTCTAGTCCTTGATTATGTTGAATTGGGAGGAACTAGAAAAAAGCACTAGAATAAGGAACATGCCAGGGAGTTGAGTTTAAGCTGTGGGAGCATAACTATGTTTATCACAGCATTATTCACCATAGCTAAGATATGGAGCCAACCCAGATGCACCTCAGTGGATGAATGGATCAAGAAAATGTGGTATTTATATACAATAGAATTCTATGCCTCCATCAGAAAGCATATTGCCCTATTTGTTAGGAAATGGAAAGACTTGGAAAAAATTATATTAAGTGAAACAAGCCAAGCCCAAAGAAACATAGGTCCCATGGTTTCTCTTATCTGCAATAACTAGTGTATTCGAGGACAAGCAGAAGAGGTCAAAAGCTATGTATATATGACCATATAACCTGATGTTAAGTGAAATGAACCCCAAGATAGGGACACAAGAGGTTTTATCTTTGTTACTGTTCTTTTTAATGTACTATGTGATTTTTTTGTGTTTCTTTGTATGTTCTTCCCCAATGGTACAACCCCTGATGTCACTGTATATGATTCTGGTGTCCTGCATCTTGTATATACATTTTTTTCTAATGGGGAGGGGAAGGGAAAGAACAAAATGCTGAAATAAGGATACAGGATGACCCATTGCAACAATAAGATGTACAAGACACTATGTTGAAAACGAACTTTACAACTTTGCAGGGGGCAGGGAGGGAGGAATTGCGGAGGTGGGGAGGGAAGGGATGATAGGGGAAAAATAAAGGAGGGAGTAACAATACTCCATAGGAAATGGACTCATTACCTTGCTCATGCAATTATAACCCCTCTGTACAGTATCTTTACAATAAAAAATATATATATTTAAAAAAAACTGAGTGACTGGGATTGTGGGTATCATGAAAGGGTGGAGCCAGGGAGTGAGACACAGAGAAGAAGATTATTTCAATCATTTTGCATCCCTCTGAAATCAGAAACAAATTTAATGCTGCCTTTAATTTTGTGCAGCCATTGATCCTGCCCATACTATGGAAAGGAAAAGGAGTGGACACTTGACAGAGTCTTATAATGCAGGAGAGGAATTAGGATAAGATGGTGTGCCTAGTCTCATCCAAGTCAAAAACTCTATGACTTTTCTATTTGTTCCAGTCAACATTGGGAAGAAGTTGGTTCCTAGGAAAATACTTTCAACATGGTTATATAGAATGGGCTCTACAATCTGACAAATAATTAATTTGCTAGCATAGATTCCAATAATCCTCCAGTGACTCCATTCGTTTAGCAAGTTTGAATTGGCTTTTTCACCATTAACCATTTTCAAAATGGCAGTCACGGCTTCAGACTTTCAGAGAAGGCAGAGGAGGAAGAGGACATTTACACATGTGCTTCCTTGCTGCTTTCATTCCTTGTTTCTTAAAGTATGTTAACGAGTGTGAACCTCTTGTTTGTAAGTCGTATTGTTCTTGCAAAATTAGTATCTAAGGAATTTTTGCCTTAAGTATGTACTGGCTTATGCTGGCAATCCTAGCTACTCAGGAGGCTGAGATTTGAGGATTATGGTTTTAAGCCAGCCTGAGCAGGAAGTCTGTGACGGTCTCATCTCTAATTAACCACCAGAAGAGTTCAGGTAGTAGGACTTTAGCTTTCAGCAGCAAAAAAGCTCAGGGATGGCTCCCATGCTCTGAGTTCAAACTGCCAGGACCAGCACACACACACACACACACACACACACACACACACACACACACAATTACATACTTTAAAAAATATACTTTTCTGACTGGGTACCTGTGGCTCACACATGTAATCCTAATTACTCAGGAAACTGAGATCATAGGGTCATTGTTTGAAGCCAACACAGGCAGAAAAGACTCTTATCTCCAATTTTCCAGCCAAAAGCTGGAAGTCAAACTGGGCTCAAGTAGTATAGCACCACTGAGAACAAAACCTAAGGAAGAGCATGAGGACCTGAGTTCAAGCCCCAGTATTTCAGCACCTGCATGCATTCCTTAGATCTCAGCCTCCTGAGGATTATAGGCATGAGCCACAGGCTCCTCCAGGCTCTTTCCTCTTTATAAGTTGGGTATCTCAAGGTATTTTGTTTGAGTAACAGGAAGTTGACTGATACAGATAATAAAAGATACTTTACATACTATAATTAAGTTAAAGATGTTGAGATGGAGAGATGGTTTGGATTGGCCCATTGTAATCAGGGGGAGACTTACAGGAGGGAAATAGGAAGTCCAGTAATGTAGAAAAGAGTTATAAAGAAGAACATAGAGATCACTGGGGATTAGGTAGAAGTCTGTTGGCTCCTTAAATGGAGGCCGAGGTATGAACCAGGGAATGCAGTTTCTGTGAGCTGGAACAGGAGAGACAAAAGTGCCTCTGAAAGAAATGTGGGTTTGCTGACATTGTGATTTTCAACCCTAAGAGAGTCATTCTAGACAGCTGACAGCCAGAGCTGCTCAGATAATAAATTTGTGCTGTGTTAAGCTATTCCGTTTTGATCATTTGTCTCAGCGCTGGTAGGAAACAAATATAGCCCTTTTCTCTTAGTAAAAAAATCCATAAGGCAAAAAAAAAAATCTCTTTGACAATCCAAATATCACATGATATCTGTTGAGGAAGACTTCTTGGGAAGCCAGCTTTGTGATAAACGTAGTTACAGCTGGAACACATTGCATTTCATCTACTCTGATGAAAATCATTAACAAAAATAATTCCAGTCCCATAAAAGGGTCGTAAGACAGTTATTATATGGCAGTGTGTGTGGGCAGATGCTACGATGCTTGGCTAATAAACTTCCTATCCAGAAAGTCCCACTACAAAACAAAACCACAAACAGCAAAAACTTGATGCGAACATCTGCCTTCACGTTTATTGGGCATGGAATTCCTATGACAAAGTTTTTTCTTTTTTTTTTTTTTCCAGTTGGTCATGGGTTCTGAACTCTGGATCTGGGCACTGTCCCTCAGCTCTTTAGCTCAAAGCTAGTGTTCTACCACTTGAGCCACAACACCTTTTCCAGCTTTTTCTGCTTACGTGGTGCTGAAGAATCGAACCCAGAGCCTCATGCAAACACTCTACCACTGAGCCACCTTCCCAGCCCACGACAAACAGTTTTGAGATGTTTATATCCCCACTCACTGTCAAGGCTCACATTTCTGATCAAGCCACCTGCTTGGTAAATAGAGAATAACTCAGGAGCAATTGACTCTGTTCCACTTGTGTCTTTTATTGGCTCCACTCTTGAAGGGATATGTAAGTTTATTCACTGCTGTGTGGCTGGTCTTTCATCAGCCATAAATGAATACAATTTGAGAAACAAGCCATTTAAATCATCTTATCTAATGTAACAAGGCATCCATGCCCATAGACAAAGGGTAAAGTCCTCAACCCCAAACCACATAGCCAGGTAGAGGCAAGGACAGAACAAAGACCAGAACCTGATTTCAAGACTTCTGGTACCACTATGATTCCACTGCTTGGAACCATTCCTTTCCAGAAGACTCCATTCATGAGCAGATTCTCAGGTCCAGGGAATTTCAGATCTAATTACTGCCACAAATCTGACAAGACATGTGCTATAATTTCTCTTGTGGTAAAACTAGAGGTACATGGCCGTGTACTGTGCAGTTAAAATTAATTTCAAGTAGAAAAGTTCAAAGTGCAATGATCTTAAGTAGAGTTAGGATTTTAAAGTGGCCATAGACAGAATGGCGAGAAGAGCAGAGAGCTCTGGAACAGGCAGCAAAGATGTGTTTGTAGGGTCCCAAGGAGATGTGAGGAGAAATACTGTTCAGAAAGAATTGTTTCAGAGATAGTGCCTAGAAGCTGGCTGGCCTAGGCAAGGTTTTAGTCTACGTAGAAGTGAGAGCAGTGTTAAGTGCTGGGGCAAGTTGAAAGTGTTGAAACTAATCCAGGACTCAAGTGTCAATTGAACCAGGGGTAGACAGGCAATTGTGGTATAATCTAGATGTAAAACAAATACTGTTGGGCTGTGCACAGCCTGTAATCATAGCTACCTTTCAAGAGGATGAGAGCTGAAGACTGCTGTTTGAATCCAGTCCAGAC